ATGTTGCTGGGAACCGAAACAAACTAGTTTTTGTGACTTTCAAGCTTGATTCCTATGATCTTGACAACTCAGAAGCGAGAGACGTTCGGCTTTAAAGGCAGTAAAATTTTGTTCAGTGCAGTTACTCGCGATCGCTTCTCTTCTTATATCTCATGAAAACTGGACCTCCATATGGTATTTATAAATGGAAACGTTCCATATCGCTTTCGTGGCAGTAGCTTTAAGATTCTGTATGTCCTTTATTCGACTCTGCTTGAGATTGAAGCCATTTATTTTCCATAAGGCTAGATACAATGGAGCGAGTCTGATACGGTACAAACGATACAACCTGATTTATTTGACATGGACTGTCACAGTAAAAGCTGTTTTCGTTAAGAGGTATAAGTGGCATCTATGATCGCTAATGATCAGTAGTAATCAATATATTTTTACATCGACTCTACTTTGGGGTCAAAAACACCCGAAAATTCTGGATCATTGGGAGTATGACGTCTTCAGTTATGACAATGTCGTTTGATCCGCGAAGTTAATACATTAATAAAAGTAATCCTTTGACTTTTAGGAGGATCAACACATTAGATGATAGAATCATAACAGGGGCATATAATTACAATGTACACGTTACGTCCAGAGTGGTAATCCGTCTATACCGATATGGAATGAAACTGATTCAGTGTTTAGTCCATAGTGGTAACTCTTTGCTGTGACCGCTTGATGGCCAGTTATTGCAGCTTGGACGCCCACTGATTGACCTAGATGTCAGATTAACAGCATCATAAATCAGATTAGCTCAGCGAAGGGAGTTGTGTAGGAAAAGACTTTCGCACGCGGAAGATCGCCTACCCTGGGCTTAAATTTCTGCCAAACTCTTCGTTTATTAACATGGGAATTAAGAAAGGCGAGTGTTCTGCCTAAAGCTGCCATGTGCAAGTTTCATCTATAAATTCGTTGGTACCTTGGTGATGTATCTGGTCGCTCGCTTGGCCGTAAGTCATACAGGCGAGCTCCGCTTAACTTTCATTTCACTAAGTTTATTTCAACACTCGGCAAGTACTCTACGGGAGTACGCTGCATATAAAATTTATTATGTACAAGTTCTAAACCGTTTCGGATCATGCTCCATACGTCTTCAGGGAGTGTCTGATTGTAATTACGATTACTTAATTTATTTATTTATTACGTAAAGCAGTAAATTAGTGAATTACGACATTAATGCTTGCTACCATAAAACGCAGTTCCACATTTGCATATTTTTGAACTATTCCGCATGGCTGGCCTTGATGAAGCTAAACATCAAAAATTTCCGTTGATACAGCAACGCCGAGAAACTCAACGCCCAGTTTGTTCAATCTTTGAAAAAGATAGTTTAAACTTCATTCTTGTAGCCAGTTCAACAAGAGATTCTGCACAGAATGTGTTGCTTCCATTAAGGTCGACGAGAGAAAGAAAATTTGTGTTCTTACAATGAAAACGCGGAGTTGTTGCAACATCGGCAAAGCGCCAAAGCATATTTATCGTGGTATGTAGAAAAAATAATTTCTTCGTCAATCAGCCGACTGGGGTAAGTTAGGATAGGTGATTGTCAGAATTACGTATATAACTTTATCGAAGATACACAGTAATCCGTTAAGCTTCAAAAGTTTCTTGGCAAAAAATAGACGAACTTCATCAACTCAGTACAAAGGAGGGAGATCTCAAAAAATTGTACTGTTCAGTTCGAGTCACAGCTTGAGCGTGCAACTCCTAATCCGTTTGTCAAATTATCAGTGAGTCAGTCAAGTTATCAGTCAAGCAAGTTTAACGCAAGCATTTACGAAATCCAAGGCTTTTACAGGTCAAAAGTTGTTTATTTATTACAGTGATACAATGAATTACTATTTGACGAAGTTTCTCAAATACGTGAACTAAAAATAATAACGGCTAGAAAAGTCAGAAACCAAATTTGCTTATTACAAGACAACGAAATGTTGCATCGACGGTTATAAGAAATATCCGCAGTAGCTTGACTTAATCTTAAATTTTCATTTGAACGAAAGCATTAAGGGAAAATGAAGCACAGCTTGCGTCCAAAACGTATTGC